ACCAGGCCAAACAAGCTAGGCAAGGTGCTGCTTAACTACCAAACTTAACTTCTAGAGAGAGTTAAGGTGGTGTGGCTTACAGATATAAGGTGGCAGCCAATTACAGGGCTTCCCACAAGTTAGAATAGTTATTTGCTAATTGGTTAGCCTGTCTTTCCGCAGATCTAGAGAGATGGTAGTGCTGATTTTCTAGTAGCTACCTATCGATATTTAAAACATTTTATGGATGTCGCAGAAATTTACATCAGGGTTCCATTTTTGTTAGAGTTATAAACAATTTCCATGTGACTTTATGGAAGATCAAGGAGTACAGAAACAAGGAATTGACTAGCTTCTCAGGCTCACCAATGAGGCAGAGAAGGCCAGGAGTCAGGCTTTCTGAAAACTGAATGTGAGAAGGACCAGGTAATGCTGAAGAAGCAAAATGCTATGGCCTGTGAGAAGAGGCTAAGGTTACCCAAGAAGCAGTCCTGAGTTTCACCAGTGTCTCTGTTTAATGTGTCCTCTTTTCTTGCTACAAACTATGCTTACCATTTTCATTTTACCCTAGCTGTCCTTTTTAGAGAGAAAGAAAAATTCCCCAGCTCAGCTTTCCCTTCTCTTTGATCCAGTCCTGGTCAGTGAATATGGCCAGCTACTCCTGAATCCCTCTTTGAATTTAAAAAAAGAAAAACAAACAAACAAAAGGAATGAATCACCTTAAGATCATGCAGTTTGTCTACAGCACAAAAATCTTTTCGTATGCACAGGGCAGCAATTTGTGGATAAAGATATTGGAGTGTCCTGGACCGAGGACTTGTTTTTAGATTCAATGGTTTAAGAGAGAGAACTGAAATGGAAAATTAAATGGGAAATTGGAGTGGTGGGGTGGAGATTTGAGTCAGGGCCACAATATGAACTCTATAGACTGACGATCTGTGCTACCATGGGCTTCTCCACTGTAATAACAATATTAAAAGCTGCTTATTTCTATAATTTTAACTAAAGCAATATATTACAGTTTTCTCTTGTAGAAAAAGGTACAATAGAGCTTGAATGCCCTAAACGTGGTATTAATTTTCTTGATATCAGAAAAAGATAATTTCCTTAGATTACAAAATTTGTGTTTTAATTCTGATTGTAAATAATGGAAAACATTTTATGGGCTTCTGAAAACTTTGGTACCTGTGCTTTAGAGACAGAAACCTGATTCTGGAAAAGGAAAAATCTTCAGCCTGTAACACTGGAGAAGCTGCAGAGGAACCCTGTTTGAGAGAATTCTACCTCTAATTCCAGGGCTGACAGGCTTCTGCTGACACATTGCAAAGTGCCTTCTGTTTGTCAGGCCATGAGTTCGGTGCCTGCTTTGCTGCTTTCTTTCTACACATTGCAATTTGAAGAACAGGGAGGAAGAATGGACTACAATCCTGAGGACTAGAAGCCTGGTTTTTGCTTTCATTTTGTGCAGATATGTGGCTCTGGAAAAGTCCTTTCTCTGGGCAGATTGGGTCCCATGCTTGCAAAATGGAGGAGTCAGACTGGACAAAAAAATACTCCAACTGTAATTTATGGTCTGTGTGTTCTTGCAATATTATTAAAAGATGTCAAAGACAGATAAATGAACTCATGTACAATGGGAGACAGTTATACTTAGACCAGGGCCTGGAAATAAGTTGTTTGCTGCAATGCTAAATAAAATTTAGCTTTGAATGTTCTGGCAACTTAGGAATACAGACTCTTCATTGTCTGACCAAAAGAATAGCAGTGCTTCTTTGAAAAATTTATTTGTTCTTCATTCACACACTTTATTTTTATTACAAAAGTGGCAGTAGTGCAATTTTACTTCTTTTTTAAAAGGAAAAACTCACTCACAATCAAACTACCTCAATCAACGTGAATATTTTTCTTTCAGTCTTTAGTCAAATTACCATTACCACACAAGATTTTTGTAGTTGCTTTTTTTAACTCAAGAAAATACGATCTTTCATCCATGCTGTGGCAGAAACTGTGCTTATTATTTTTAATGTCTTTAGAAAATCAATTGGATATACTAGCTCAGTCCTTGACTGGTGTTTAGTTTGTTTCCATGTTTCATTACCACTCAGGATAAGCAATTAGTAAACATTAGTCTTTCCCTTCTTTAGGAGAATTTTCATTGTGTGAGCTCCTCGGAATGAGATCAGGTCGAGGAGTATGGACATTGTGTTTTTCTAAATCTGGACTGTTTACTTCTCTATGAAGCTGCTTTTTGCCTCAAGCACCAAGCCCTAAAATAAATTGACTAGAGAATCTTATTTACAATGATCTCTTTCAGTTCTGAATGGCTCTCTGATAGGTCTGTCGCAAAGCCTTCCTTACCCGGCAGAAGCAGTGGAGGTTTGATTTAGTCTGGGTTTGTTGCAGGTATTAATATGCTTTTGGCATTTTAGTGCACAGTATATTTATGCAGGGTTGGAGGACATTCTTTATTGCATTGGGATAAACAAATTCTCTGGGGAGAGCATTGAGGAATGGAGAGGGATTGCTTCATGCTTCTCACAGCAGGAAAGTTGTTGAGCTGTATTCATCCTTGGTCCAAGACATGCCCCTGACTGTTCCTGAGCTGCCATCTTTGTGATGGTTGGGCTCAACTTTCCCACTATTTATGGCTGTAAGAATGCAAATGGAGCTGAAAGTTTCCTCTTTCCTGGATCTCAAACAGCTTAGTTGCAGAGCGCTGTGCTTCTCCAAGTGTTTCCAGAGAAGACAGCCTGAGGGAAAGGAAGTGGTGCTAATTAAATCCTCCCTCTGTTTTCCAGGCACAGGAGCCTTTCGCAGATGTCTGTTGTTAGGCGTGTGTTCACAGAGTGCACAAATACAGAAGCCAACGTTTCTTCCCTAGTGACACAAACCTTCCTTCATGGGTTACAAGGAACTTTAGAAATGCAATTTCCTTCCAACACCCACTATCACAGAGGTGGCAGACCTGCATAAACAGAGCACACATAGCTGCCAGGAAGGCCAGTGTGCCTCCTCTCTCTCCTCTCTCATGCTCTCTCCCTATCTTTCTCTCTCTCTGTCACACATACACACACGCGTGAGTGCACAAACATACATACAATATAATTCTTATGCTTTTCTATTCCTTGTATTCCATCAAGCTAATCTCTGCCTTTTGTGTATCCTTTCGAAGCTACCTGAAAACCCCAGGAAGTCTCTCTGTGATGGTTCTGTGTTGTGGCAGGTATTTTGGACTCCGAGCATGTTTGCAATCTGGGTGTTTCTGAAACTATTCAAATGTGTTTGGAATGTGGCCCTGTGAAGATGGGGATGAAGCAAATGGCCCTTCTGTGGTTGCCAGGATCAAATGAGACATAGCACAATGAGAACTGCAGAAGACCTTCTGCTGTGGCTCCTCCTAGCTAACAATGATTTATCCTATGTTCAGACCTTGCCAACGAGACTGTGTCTGTATACACACTTGTGCTGTCCTATTTGCTTCTGTTTTGTGGGCATAAATGTTAATGGCATCTTTTTTATGTGACAGTGCTTTGGTTGGCATAATCAGTCGTGTGATCATGCCATTTTTACCTCTTTGGAATGCTCTAGTTAGGCCCAAGTTCAAGAGCAGGAAGTTGCTAGGGAAAGGGAAAATTTCCCACCTTTCTAGTGTTTCAGGAGAACCAAGGAAGATTAACTCAAACCACCTTTGTTTGATGAAGAACAAGAAGCAGTGCTGAGAATAGTGTGGCATAGGCTGGCATCCTCAGTCACGTGGTGAGAAGGGAGGGAAGTCCCTCCAGTGCAGCATCAGTAACCAGCTACTGCAGGGATAGGCCAGTGGCTCACTGTGGACACAGTGGCTGGTATAGGACAGCTCCTGCCACTACTTTGACTTGCTTTGCTTTATATTTATAAAATAGAAATCAGTGTGTTGTTTTTATTTTATTTTAGGTACTGGGGATTGAACCCAGAGCCTTTACACTGAGCTACAATACCAGCCACTTGTATTTATTTTTTATTTTGAGATAGGATTTTAATTACACCACTGAGTTCTCCAGGCTAGGTTTGAACTTGTGATCCTCCTGCCTCAATCTGTCAGAGTGCAGGGATTACAGATATGCACTATCACACCCAGCAGATTATTGTTATTTTAAATCACATACGATCATTTCTAGCATCCAGAGACATGAAAACAAAATAAAATCACCTATAATACTATCATCCAGAGATAAAAATCTTCTAATAATTTATGTTACTTCTTATCATATATTTTCAAATATCTGTTATATTATATATATATAAGCATATGTATATTTTCTTTCTTTTTGAAAGATTTGAGCAAATTTTAATAACATTATTCACATATTATAACTTACCTTTTTCGTAATAGTATACTTTCATGTTAAAAATACGTGCTCACTTTTTAAATGACTACATTGCATTTAACTGTGTGATATAATATTAACTGTATGGCATAATACGTGTTTTAGCCCATTTTCTACTGGTGGATATTTAGTTTCACTGTGAGTTTTTGGCATTATCTTTGTACCATTGTCTAAATTATTTCCTTAGATTAGATTTTTGGTTTAAAAATATGCTCAGTTTTAAGGGTTTTTGTGCTCTCTTACTACCCAAGAAGCAGAAAATCATTGCTTTTCCAGATCCTGAATAAGCCTGCAGCGTGGCATATTTTCAAGCAAAATATGAAGTTTTGAAGACAAAGTATATAGTAATTATAAAACACTGTTCTTGTCTCGGTCAGCCTCTGGTCTCCCAAGGTTAATATGAGAAATAGTACGCTCTTTTGCTCTGTCCAGAGTTTCGGCTCTGTCCTTTGGTAGATGGCCTTCCGAGACCACAGTGGCATGGAGGGTCTGTGCTGTGGAACCTCACACATTAATAGCCATGTTCAGTTGGCACACTAGATGTTCATCAGTTTCTTGAATGTCTTTTGCTCCTCACAGTCTGTTATGCCATGGCCAGGATTCAGAAGACTTTTTAAAATCCTAATGGCACAATTGTTTATTCCCTTGTTTTAGGCTGAAGAAATGTCAACTATTGGGAATTTCGAGGGTTTCCAGCCCGTGTCGCTGAAACAAGAGGGAGAAGATCAACTGTCGGAGACCGTGCACTTGTCCATGGAGGAGGAGGACCCAGACAGTGGTCAAATGCCCAGGGGGATTTCACGGCAGTCCAGTGTGACCAAATCAACTCTTTACCCCAATCCTTACCACAAGCCGTTTATCTCCAGGACATATTTCGTTGCACGGGTAAAATTGTTGGTTCTGTGAAATAGTATGTAAAACTGTTCCTTAAAATAACCTTAATATCTTTCTGTGTACCACACATTTTGCTAAGTGTCTATACATTTTTTAATCTCTTGCATTAGTCCTCATGATCATGATGGTGGCACCCTTATCTTCTTTGTACAGATGGAGGATCTGAACTTCAAAGAATCTAAGTCTGTTTTTGATCACCTAGAACAAGAAGACACAGTTTGTCTGGCCTCCTTGGGTTTGGATCTTTGATTAGTCAGTCCTTTGTTCCTGCTAAATCTGGTCTCAAAAGACTAACCTTTATGAGTAGAAAATCTGTAACGTAGAGGCAGGAATGGAAAGCTGGTGTGAGCTGTTATTTGTTTGGAAGCTGTGAAGTGGAAAGGTTGCTGAGAATGAACCAAATCTCAAGAAGGCTGGTGTTGCAAAGTAAGAGCAACTCTCTAAAACCTCAAACCTGGAGCTGAGGTTGGGAGTTCAGAAAGTAAACAGCTGCATATCCAAATGTGAAAAGGATACCTTGAACATCTGGTAGTTAGACAAGTGGAGAGTGTTTCCTGGACTTCTAGTGTCTTTCTCTGCAGAGCTCCCTTTACTACTTATCGATCTTATTCCCCAGGCATTCAGTGTTCTTACTAACACAGTAGTGGTTAACTCACAGGCTACAATTAATTGGCAGTGAATTTAGGGCATGTACCTTATGACTGTAGGATCCACCTTAATTTCATGTCTACATATATTTTTAAACTCAATATTATAAATAAGGAGAGACTAAGATTTTTATGACTACAAAGCTTTGACCAATGAATCTTGATTTGGAAGCCTTAAGAATATATCTTTAAAGTTTTGACTAAAACAACTCGATGTGTGTGAGTGTGTTAACATTACACAGTCTCCCATATACAAGGTACTATGATATATGCTATTCAAGCTATACTGTGTGTATATTTTTATGTGTGTGGTATATGTCAAGCATATGGTCTGTTTTTCAAAATATGTGAACTTTATTGAATATGCAAAGTGAAGTTGTGAGATAAAGCTGCAGTGGAAATCCAAACATACTCTGGAGTTTGATTATCCTTGATATTGATGATATCACAGTTTTATGAGGGAAACACAATGATATAGAATAAAGGATTTATTGCAGGGAGTTGGCATAATTATGAGAGCTGGCTGAAAAGTCTATGCAAAAATGTTGTTTTTGCACCTGCTGATGGAGCTGAAGTTGGAATGAGTCAACCAGCTAGCAGTTATGAATTGGGAATAGGGAATAGAAACAGGGGAAAATTGTATGGCAGACCTGGAATCCATCATGACCTAGTCCAGATCATGAAGAAGGATGGGAACCTGTGTCCATTCCCCACCAACTCTAACCTTCTACCACTGAGCTGCACCCTTTACCAGCCTCGGGGAAGGAGAGTGGGGAGGACGTCAGACTGTACGGAAAGGAGATGTGGGCACCCGTGCTGTAGTCTCCATTAAGGACTCCAGGGTACTTGTTGCCATGAACACAGCTACCAGCAGTGCATGGTCCTCAGCAAGGAAAATGAGGATGTTTCCCTGGTGCTTCCTGAACCTTATACAAGGATCGCTTATGGCCAAGTCCATTTGAAATCCTACAGGAAGAGGAATTCCAGAAAATGATGTTCCAGCCTAGTTAAAACGACACGGTCTAAAACCACTACCTGTTTTTTTATGTGTTTGCTTAGTGCTTTTATTTCTGTGGCTCTGTGTGTCTTATATAATAAATTCCCATCCTTTGTTTGTCCCCTGGTGTGACCCTGTGCAGTAGGCAGAGGGACGCTTACCATCTTTGGCTTAAGAATGAATGTTTTCAGAGGGTGCACACCTTCCCTCCAGGTCACGTAGTGATAGAAGTGCTGCAGCTTGATTTTGAACCTGTCTGCAAGTCCGACACTCTTCCTATGTATGGTTCTTGTATGAAAGTTTTCTGTGAATGACTCCAGTCAATGAGAAGAACACATTTTTTATCAGATGTATAGAAAAGAACCTTAAATTCTCAGAAATGTGTGAGGAAATCATCCTTCTAATTTTATTAGTGAATCTAATGTGAACCAGAGACTAGTGGGTCTGAGTTTGACATTCTCCAAATATTTCTCCTTCACTCCTCTTATAGGATTTTTTTGGAAAATGTGAGCACGATGGATGTGTATTAACACACGATGATAATGAAAATATGTTTGGTCCAATTGAAAGTTGTAATTATAAACATTTTTAATAAATAGAAGAATGATCCAGTTGTTGTAGCCTGAGAACTACAGATCTGCTCCTGTTGTCATTGGATGCATAGAAAGGAGTTTGGCTCTGTGTGTGTGTGTGTGTGTGTGTGTGTGTGTGTGCGCGCACATGTGTGTTTGTGTCTTTAATTTCCTCCCCTGCAAAATGTATATAAAATACAAATTTTATGTGTAGGTTTAAATAGGCAAACATTGCAAAGTCTCTTGGAGTACAAGGTACATCTATAAACACTTCATTAATGACATCCCATTGATATTATGAATACTGTCTGGGTTTTTTTAGTTTATGTTTGCATGTCTATAATTAGTCATGAGAATGGCACTAGGACTCCACCATGACCCCCAAAGTGAGCTATAAATGCAGCTATACAGGAGCTGAAGCTAGTTTCTTTTTTCCAATGGATAATTAACATGACCAAGACTCTTGAAATTTCAGATCCCTGAAGTTATCATAAAGTATCGCTTTTTCTTAGAGTTGAAATGAGACCTAAGATCACATGTTCAGTGCATCTTAATCTTTGCTATGCAAGTGAATTGGATTATGAAAATATTCTGGCAATCCTTATACTTTTTGACCACATACTACACTCTGTTCACCAAGAAGCTATTCAGCTCGCCATTTTCAGGGGAGAAATAAGGAATAGAGAGGGGTCTTCCTTGCTCAGTATCAAAGTAGTGAGTGACCTTGGACTTGCCAGGAGGCTAGCACGTCCATTCACTGCAGAGTGAATATTTAAAGGCTATGTCTCACAAATTTAGAAGAACAGTAAGTGAGTGGAGGAATTTCTGGGTCAAGCTTTTTTAAAATTAAAATGTTCTAAAATCATTGCACAGGAAGTGGTTTACTGATGAAAAATTGGAAAATATGAATAAGCAAAGTAAAAGTCACCATAATCCCATGGCTCAAAATTAACCAAACTGCACTGAATGTACTATTATACATTTGGGCATGCATCTATTCTTACTGTTTTCTTACATACATAATAAGTTGTATAAAAATGTAGTTATATGCTAAGTATTATTTCCTATAATAATAATATGCTTTCATAAATTGATTTTTAATAGTTCCATAATATCCCACTACCTAGATATACTACAATTTCTTCAACTCTCAGTGGAGATTTAGGCTGTTTCCTTTTTGTATCATTTACTCTGGAAAGGAATGTTATTTCTTACTGTTCTGTGGCAGGATGGTAATCAATTTCTCAGGTATCTCAGGAATAGAAATCCACTATTGTAACAAAAAGAAACAACTAAAAAATCTCAAGCTGAGTTTGAAAGGGTTGACTGATGTTGAAATACAGATTAATTCTTGACAAAAGGTAATTCTAGTATCATCATCTTAGAGGTTAGATCACATGTCTGCACGTCAGGCCAGAGGAGAAGTCAGTCTCGGCCCTTTGACTCCATGTGTTCTTCCCTAGTCAGTCTGGAAGTTTGCTTCCTCTCCTCAGGCTCCCAGCCTATTATTTATTTACTGAATCTGGGCCCTTCTGACTTAGTTTAGGAGAATTCTGTGCAGAGCCAGAAGGTATTGGTAATGTATAATCCAGCTACTAGAATCCGCAAGGGAGATGGTATATATTAAGTGTCAATCAACAGGCTTGGAATCGGGAACTTCACACTTTTCCCTCCAAACTGTTCTACCTATGACATGAGAAAATGAATCAGAGATCAAAGGAATGCAGGCCTAAACCCCTTCCATCAGTATGCATGGATAACCTTTCTCTTCTGTTTTAGTTCACCTGCCATTATTCCTTCGACATATCTAAAAAAGGACCAGTTCTTTCTCTGAACAAAAGTATCCCTCAAGGCTAAAAACTGAAAGTGTATTATGATAATCATCTTACTCTAGAGACTGATATTCAAAAGCAACTTCTTATGAAAGGAACAATACTCGATCCACATGGGGAAAGATATTTTTAAACTCCCTATAGGATTCTATATTTGCAGATACCATATCAGAAAGTTGAAAGCGATTTGGGATGAGGAATTATCTCTAAATTTATACTTGAGAATTCAAATTACATACAAGCTAATGGGACTAAAACTATTTGATCTTTTAATATTTAATTCATGGTTCCCCATGGCCTTTTCATAGCCTGTGTTCTATTGTGAGCAATGAGACTTTAATGAGTAGGTTCAGGACTTCCCATTGTGCACTGAGTTGTCATTGCTTCCGTGACACTAATCTTGCTTTCATACTCTCTCCCTTTTCCTCTTCTCTTGCTATAGGGTTCCCTGTGTCTTGTTCTCACATGGAGAACAAACACATTTATTAGTTTTAGTGTCATTGCCCATGCAAGCTTCCTTTCGGTCTAGGAAATAGTTATCTCTGTGGACAAGGGGTTTTTCAACTCTCCTTCTCATGGTGAATTCTCTCATAGGTTTCGATAAAGATGAGTTTTAACAGTCATGTGATATGATGTATTTACTTCATTTGCAAGTACTGATCAATTTGCCTTTATAAATCCTATCTAGTGTACAGCCGATTCGCACCTGTGAGTTCATTGCAAAGGGATGTCTGCCTGGCTGTGAAACCAGAGTCTCTAGGAACACTCTTCACTGTACTACTTCTTTCTGTTACTGTCTTTCTAAGCAGCTTGTCACACAGGAACCATTAGCATGGGCACGGGTGTTTGCCTGACTTCTGGCACTAGGTAGCCTAGTCCTGAGAAATGCAAAGAAACAAGCACATATGCATTCAAACTCCCTGAGGAGGTTTGGTTTGATCAAAGCTATTAAGTGCTAGACTATCAGAGTTGATACTGTTCCTTGTACTATGTCAGAACATGTGCACCTATTATTTGACCATGTTTTCTTATCTATCTTAGTTACAAGGAGGCTCAGAGCTGACTGCTTCTCTGTACTAATCCTTGATCCCTACATCCTGGTATGATAATTTCCCTTTTAATATTAGCAATAATGAGATGATGATACAGGCTTTTATTATTCAGTGTTTACTACTAGCTTTATATGCAGGGTTGCATAGCATCTCTCACTGGCTTTGTTATAGTTACTGCTATTGTAGCCGTCTAACAAAGAAGTGAACTGATGTATAAAATGCTGAGATGACTGGTCATTGGTCTCAGAGCCATGGGAAAGACTGAAATTTAAACCTTGATGTCTCAGCACAAAGCAAAGTATTTGAATATTTAAATTTTTTCCATAGTAACTGACTGAAGTTAACTTATTATAGTAACAAATAAAACCAAGGACAGTAAAATTCTCTTTTTGAGTACCTTTCCCTTTTATATGCTATAAAGCCTTGGCCAGTATTGTTTGTAGGTCTTTTTACAGTTACTTCAGGTATGTACAAGCAAACAGCCTACTGATTCTTAGCTGTTCTCATTTTTACACAGGTGATGGCCTGTACTACCCTCTCTTTTGACATTTTTGACTTTTAATTAATAGTATATTTTGCAATCCATATTACGGTAACTTTCTTCTTTCTTACTATACCCTCATCGTATTACAATTTATTAATGTACACCAGGATATATGTGACCAGTAACTTGGGCCTAGATATTTCTGGTTTCTACCCAGTATTTGTTCTCCAAAAGGAAGCTGCAGAGAACACTTATGCCTGTATCATTCTGCACATATGCAAGAATTTCTGAAATATAACTCCACAAAGGTGGCATATCTAGATCAAAGTGTACTTTTTTTAAATTTGATAAATTGTGGCATTTTCTCTCCACAGAGACTATAAATTAGGTTTTGAAAATTTCTACATTATTATATACATCTTCACATATTTTTGCAAAAGTGCTTGGCATAAAAACATCCAGCAAAATGCTTGTTTCAGGATTATTTCATTATTCTTTAACTTGACCTAAATTTTTTTTTCTCCTGAAACACATTAGTCTCACTACTGAGTAATATTTATGATGCTAAAATTATGTGAATACAGAAAAAGAACAAATGTACCTAGGTTGAGTCATCATAATAAAAGCATTTATTTTTATTGGATATTTTTTGGTACCAGGGATCGAACTTGTGACCTTGTGCACTGTTTTTTAAGAGGACTTTGGACAGCGGGCTGGTAGAGGCACAGAGCATCACAGGGAGTGAGGGGAGAGCTGTCACCTTTCATAGGGAATTTTCTTCCAGGGCAGCCTTCCCTTGCATGCAAGATGGCCCAGAATGCGAGTGAGAAATCATTCAGTCTGCTGGCTGTTGATAGACTCTGTGAGAAACTTATTTAAATGATACAATCATAATCCCTCAGGGTAAGCATTACAACCATGTTCTTTTGAAGATTCTTAGGAACTTTTGATCATCAGGTTGACTCAGAAATTTTGGTTTAGTCCAGTCTATTGTCTCACAGGTAAAGAAGTAAAAATTCAGGAATTGGCTATAGTCACAGAATTAATCCATCACAGATCTGGAATATGAACCCAGGTTTCTCAACTCTGTTGAGGACTTCTCCTTTCCTTTCTTGGATGATGTTGGGTATGGGGAGTGAATTGACAAGCTGGTACTGAGGGAGCTAAGGAGGTGAAAGTTCACCCTCATTACCCTCACTGTATCCTTCTTGTTTTTCATGTGTGGATTCCCATATAAGATTTTTTGTAACAAATGCATGTTCAAGGCCATTTATCATAGTTTCAGAAAACAAACACAGGAAAATGACCATCCTGCTCCTGGGAGAAAAAGGTATTTCAATGGTTGGTAGGTAGGCTTGTATCTCTACTTCCTTATGTAAGAGAAAGGTCTCACGTGGGAGGGTTAGGAATATCAGTATTTACAAAAGGTAGGTTTCTGGATTACAGTTCTATTATACAGAGGGTACAAATGGAAGATTGTCACTGATATAGGTCAGTTTGGGGAATGAAGTTATCACTGTGTTATGGACCTAACAATGAAAGGTTTGAGTTTCTTATCTGCTACTTTTGCTGAATAAATTTGGCAAATTATTTGCCACATGTGCCCTATTTCTTCATCACTCAAATCAAATGGTTTAGACTTGGTGAATGTCAGGTGTTCTTAGACTTGGCCAAGGATTGAGAGTAACTACCAAGAGAGCCATGATTCTCACACCAGTGACATCACCAGAGAATTTTTCTGGAAGTCTCAACCCATACTGACTGAATCAGTAATTCTGGGGATGGTCCTAAAAGTCTGTGGTTCTAATTTGCCCTGAAATTTGAGAATCATTGAACTAGAGTGTCTCTGAACTGTTAGGATGGATATCAACTAATCTTTAAGCTAGATTTAGTTGCATAAAGCAGATTAACTTGTTTGGAAAGGAGAATAGGAGGAGAGAAGTAAGAATAAAATCATCTCCAGAGTCAGGTAACATTTGTGATCAGAGAATTAGGAGAAAGCTACTATTTTGACTGAAAAATGTATAAATCACCATGGGCTTTGAACTTTTTGATAAACATGTTATGGGAAAATGTGAACCTTTGAAAATGGACATCTTCACTGCTAGGAAAAATTATGAGTGAGAATTTGAAAGACCTGGGATATATAATGTACTTGTAGCAACTCTCTATGATAAACGTAATCATTAGGCATTGCAAATGTGTACTAATAGAAATAAAAATTTAAAAAAGAATTTGGAAGATAGAACTAGGATTACTTTTGTTCTCCCAAGGGACACAGATTAGTAGAAAGCAGTATTCAAGGGTAAGTTCTCTGTTAGACAACCACAAAATTTTTGTATGTCCTGATTATGTTTCTTGACTGTTGTTGTTGGCATATTCTAACTGATTATAAGTACAAAGTGGGCTCTATCTTCTCTAAACTAGGTATTTTCTTCTCTGCTCAGCCCGGGGCCATAGAAACTGCCATGGAAGACTTGAAAAGCCACATAGCAAACACCACTGAAGAGACCATTCAAGGATTTTGGCTCTTGACAGAGTGAGTAGTTTTGGCCAAGGGAAAGATGGTGGAAACATAAGGTATTTTTCTTTATATCACTGTAACAAAAAAGGAGATAATCTTGTGATAGTATTGTTGTATAGTATAAATGATTGACTTCTCTGTTGAGATTAGTGAAGTTTCTTGTGCCTCAGGGCAGATGGATGGCCAGATATGACCCCCAGAGGTGTTTTCTAGGTTGACCTCATCCCTTAGCCATCACCATGGTTACTCTGGGTCAGTCATCATCAATAGTCTCACTGACATTGTCTTAGCTTCCTAACCTTCTAGTTGCAATCTGTGTCTCTTGTAAGCCCACTTCCTATGATCACATCTGGCTTCTATCATTCCACTCTAGGTGTGGTGGAAAGAAAATGTAGGAAGGTGTTATGACTTGTGCCTAGATGTCCACCTAGAGGCTCATGTCATCAGTGGTGGGCTTTTTCAGAGGTGGATAGATCCAGCGTGTGTGATGCTAGGATTGATTCTTGATGCAATGCTAGGATCAAGGCACTAGATTAAGAGGGTAGTGCTACCTGATCTCAGAAGCCTGGATAAGCTATAAGGGATAGAAAGAGCTGAGTCCTCCTTGCTTTCTTTCTACCTTCTGCTGCTATGAACTAGTTCTCCTCTGTGATGCCCCTCTGCCATACCACCTACCTTGAAGCCAGCCAACTATGAACTGAAACCTCTACAAACTGTTAGCCAAATAAAGTTTTCTCCCTTAACTTTGGATGTTGGATATTTTATTGAGATAAAAATAACTAAGAGAGAAGGGGGAAGGTGAGGTCAACACATATAGTTAAATTTTTAACTTGTTTATAATTATGTAAAAAGCAGTATCTTGTAAATCATAAACTATAAGGAAGATGGACACCTGTGGAAGTTAAGTATAAATCAAATCCAACATCTGAGTTCTTATTGGGTTAATAGTTGCCTACATTCCTTCTAAGGCTTATTTTAATAAGAGGTTTCAGTGAACATACTATTTTGGAGATGATTACACTTTGACCCTACGTAGAAACTATTGTCTGTGGAATCTTTTGTTCACTCACCTGATTAACATTAGCAATTCTATGATCTTTACAATGAAAAGTTAACTATCCACATAATAAGGGAAGTAGGCAAATTGTTTCTACTATTGAGCCCAAAATAGTGAATGGAAGATGTATTTATAGTACGCCTCTCCGAGACTTGAATTGTTTAGTAAATTCTGTTTTCTGGCTTGGAAATCTTATTACTAAAATTCCAAGTAAAAAGCTCAATGATTTCTACACTGTGAGGGAAGACACTTCAATATTCATCTCTAAGCAGGGCGACTTTGACTGATTTTAAGGAAGGCAACATTTGTATTTAACCAGTCAGGCCAGCAGCTCAAATTCCTCAGTCAACAGGAAGTAGAATCTACTCACCTGATCATAATTTTATATCATTGTTTCAAATGAGTTGTCAGAATTGTTTGAAAATGAATTTTTGAAAACCAACCTCTCTGCTAATTTTGAGCCCTTTTTTAAATCCACAAAGTGAAGGAAATGATTTATACCTGAATAGTTCTCAAGAGGACTGAGATATTATTGGTAAAAATTTTCAAGTGCCTAACATCTTGGACTTTCAGTTTCCATTAATATTTCTCTTGTATTCACAATTACTTTTAGTAAAAGTCTCCTCTTCCTCCTTCTCTATTTCCTTCTATTCCTTTTGTTGTTCAATTAGAGACTGCAGTACCACAATATTGTGAAAGGCAAAAGAAATAACAATAATGAAAACAAAAACACCAAAAAGCTCAACATCCTCAAACAAAAGAAAACAAAATGGGGGAAAAAAAAAACCTATGCTAAATAAGCATACAACCTAAACAACACACAAAAAAACAAAACATTCAAGTTTTCCAAGTTCTGAGAGCCAAGTTCCAAGGCTTAGGATTACTTCTGCCTCTTGGTTCTTTTTTATAATTTTAATTTTTTCTTTGTACATGTTTACAAAAACTCAGCCATTCAGGTCTGATGAACTGTAGAAGTTTAATACAGAGCAACTTCTTTAACCATCCAAGACTCTCTTCACTACATATTCTGTGGGATGAAAGGACTGGGCTTCATAGATGTTGACACTTGACTTTCCCAGAGAGATGACACACCTCGGGCTGCCCAGGCAGCAATGTAAAGCTTATCCACTTTTAAACCATGATTCGAGTTTTAAAACAATGAGACTGAAAGGCCTTGAAACACACATAATACATTAAAAATAGTTTTCATATTCATGCATTTGCTTTAATTTCATGGTGATCTTGCTGCTTTTATTATTGTTATATTACAAATGGGAAATTGAGACTAGGCAAAATGAAGTGACAAAATGGAGAATATCTAAATGATACAGTAAATAAGATATGACAATGTCCGCATAGTAGCCTTGAGCTGAATTGGATTTCACCATGCTGGCAACATTTACACAGAGGTATTTGGCAAACATTGAAGATCAGAGCATATTTTCTTGATTCATTGTTTTGTCTACATTTAAGGAAGTAATAGAAAATATGTTGACGATGGAAATAATTGTTAACAATATACCATATCTGTAGTTTTCACATTGTAATATGTGAAAATATTCTAGCATTCAAAATTTATTTCAATTCATCCAAAATCACCTTTTTCATTGATGAATGGAATGAGGATCTGCACGTTACTATAGAAAGATTCCTGCAGCAGTCAGCTGCCACAGCCAGTCCATGAGGCTGTGTGTGGGGCTTGTTGTTTACGTAGACTCCACTTGCTCTTCTCATCTATTTTGTTGAACTTGAGCCAAAGCTGAAAATTAGAAAAAGCCTCTTGTTTCTGTAATATCTCTCTAATGATCTCGGCTGAAAAGATTAACATGGTACTCACTTTAAAGGAGAAACACCAAAAGAATTCCATTGTTTATCCTAGCATACACATTGAAGGGTGTATTTGAAGCTGACAGGTAATAAATTGATAGTTGACATAGCTGGCCTTTGCAAAGCTTTATGTTTCATTATATGCAAGGGAAATCTATAGTGAGCCTTGGGTTTTGGCCTGGGAATCTGATGGGTTGACTGGGATAATATTCCAGGTTTAGAAGGAAATGGTAACTATTTTATTGAGAAACCACTGAATGATAAATATTGTAGAAAGTACTTTGTGTCGACAGTCTCTCTGAGTCCTCACTCATGGTTCACAAAACTTGTTGATTACAGTTGTGCAAATTGTGTGTAAGATGAGTCCATAGCCAGGTAGGTAGCTCAACCAGCATTTACATGTGGGTCCTCAGCTTATTTACACAAATATTGTTTCAAAGTAAATAGTCTGAAATACTTGGGTTTTTTTAATAACCTTGTATAAAGGTTAATGGCATAAAAATAAACCAGGGAAGTCACTTGCCAAGGGATGTTGTTCGAATTAATTCAGATGAACTATATCATGGTGTTCTGATTTGGCATAAGTATATTATGTGGCTATATTAGAAATCTAAGTTTGAAAGCATTTGGAAAGAACAGAGACAATTAATGCATGAGAATATATTCAACATTGTTGGCCATTAGAAAAATGCAGATTAAAACAATACTGAGATTTCATTTCACTCCAGAAAGAATGACAATCAAGAAATCAAGTAATAATAGATGCTGGTGAAACTGTGGTGGGAGAGGGACCCTTGTGCACTGCTGTTTGAAATGTGAACTATTAGTTCAAACCCAGTGGAAATCAGTATGGCGATTCCTCAAAAAAAAAAAAAAATTGAAAATAGAAGTTTCATCTAATTCAACTCTTCCCTACTAGGTGTCCTCCTGAAAGAGTTAAAGCATATTATAGTGATACATGCATACAAATATGTATTGCAGCACATATTATAGTGATACATGCATACAAATATGTATTGCAGCTAAATCTTGGAAGTAGCCAGTGTGTTCATCAACAGGCAAATGGATAAAGGAAATATAGTGTTTCAGTGGAATACTACCCTGTTACAAAGAAGGGTAAATCTGAGTCATTTACAGGAAACTAGATGCACATTGAAAGCATGTTAAGTACAATATACCCAACATACATGCTTAAATACTGTGTGGTCTCTCCCATAGAAAAAAAATCAAAGTATAAATAAAGAGCAAAGTAACAGAGAAAAGGAAAGAAGAAGTTTGATTAACTGCAAATGGGAAGAGGGGGAAGACATGCAGGAAGGAGAAATCACTGGATGAGCAGCAAGAGGAAAAAGAATTCAGATGTGTCACATACATGGACCAAATACCCACACTGAAAGTAGTCATTATGTATCACAAACACGCACTCACAAATTTCAAGAAGCCAGGCAGGGACTAGAGAGGGGCAGCCCATAAACCCTATCTACCGCCCAGTTTAGTTGAAAGCATAATGAATATACCCAAGAGGGTATTAAGAACTTTGACTTCCGTTCATCCTATCAAGGAGATTCATATGCCCTTATAGCTATAAAAAGCAAGTGTGTTTATTTCAGCTTTATCTTCTCCTCTTTTTTAGCACTTCTGACAAAGGATACTTGAAAGAAATTGTGTACATGTTGTTAGAAGGGATCCATTGACACAACACCTAGAAGAACATCTTGACACCCTGTGGAGTCTCAGAAATTGTGATCTAATGGCAGGGAAATAGCTCTTCACCATAGTGCACTCAAGGGATCTGGGTCTAGAGTGGCTTAGGAGGTGAGGGGGGTGGATGGAGCCTTCCCACCATACCTAATAAGGTAAAGTGATGTTGGGAGATGTGTTACTTTTATTCCCCTTATTTCTGAATGAGAAGACTTACCTGTAGTGGCTGGGCTCAAGTAACTTCTGCTCTTTATCATTGTGAAGAAAACTCAGAATACGTTTCACTCTCTACTTTCCTCAAACCACCCAGAATCTATCTGAGGATCTTGGTATAATAAATATTTGAAATTCAATTAATCTTTCATATCAAACATATAAAAAGTGGAACTGAAGAAGTAGCCTGGTGTCGGTGTCATAGGAAGAGTCCTGA